AGAAAGAAAAAGAAGACTAAAGAATACGCACGTGATATTAGATAAGGTGAAGGAGGGGAGTATTATAAAGGGCTACGCTAGAGAGGTATATGTTACAAGTAACAACAGAAAGGATCTCCTTCCCTGTGCTGATGGTATAGTGGTTAGGAAGCCACTTAGGATACCAGCGGGAAATGATGGACGTGGCGGGGCCAAGTCACGTGATGTGCCATCACGCCAAGACGGTGCCATCAGTGATGGCAGGACCCGCATGTGATGGCAGCCATCAGAAGTGGAGACAACCATCAGTGATGGCAGGTCGAAGTTCTGATGGCAGGACTGGAAGCAATGAGGATATAAGGATGGACGGATTTCATTATTACTCTCGTTGTGGTTAACTCAAATTGTACTTTCTTACTAGTTACTCAACTTCACAAGATTAATACTCGTTAGTCTATTCGATATAGATTAGGAATTGTCAAACCTTTTGTTATCTATCTTACAAGCACGCCCACTCCACTGCATCGCCAGACAACCACCTCACGGCGCTCTTCACACCATCTCACTCGCCCTAACCTGGATCGAGCTTAGAGAAGTATCAGCACCCAACCCCGTGTAACACTTTGACCACCCACAGATTCAGTGGATTAGAAGATTAACAACAGGACGCCCGATTAAGATTCAAGATGTCTCACAATCACTCTCAGTCGCAGGCTAGTACCGGTGGACCAGTACAGGGTCCCGGACCAGAGCCGAACCCAGCACTCGATGACGAGATGCTGACTCCGAGCGACGATGAAGAAGATATCGAGAACCCAAGAGAAGTGGTTCATAATCTTAGGCGACAGGCCAAGCTCCAGGCACGACAGATGGCCAAAATACAAAACATGATAAACTAGCTCACGAGTTAGCTAATAGCCACACCAAACGAAAAACCTATCAAGAAACCCAAGATGGCAACCCTAGACAAATACGATAGTAACCGGGAAGGGTTACGAACGTTCCTCACCACTATCGAGTTATACTGCGGCTACAACAAAGTGCTACACGACGAAGAGAAGATTCTCATGGCCAATACCCACCTAAAGGGAAAAGCGGTAAGCTAGATGCAACCCTACGTAGAGGATTTTCTAAAAGACATCAACAATAAAGAAACAAAGGACGAGACGCGTACCTTGTTTAGTAGTTGGACTAACTTTAAGGAGGAAATAAGACGCATCTTTGGGGAGGTAGACGCGGAGCGCCAGGCGGAGAAAGCGATTTCTTGCCTAAAGCAGACCAAAGCAGTATTAGCTTATACAGCGGAGTTCAAGCAACTATAGGCGCAAATTAATTAGGATAATTCAGCACTTTAGACGGTATACGAAGCAGGTCTGAAGGAAAATATCAAAGACAAACTTATACACTACGACAAGCCGAAGGATTTATACTCGTTAATTAAGTTGGCAATAAGAATTAACACGCGATTATAGGAACGAAAAGAAGCCTAGAAAGGATACAGACTAGGGCCACCCTTCGCCAACACCTAACGATATTGGAGTAACAAGGATTACGACAGAGACACGTACATAACTAGCAAGGTACAAGATAAGTCTAAGGATAAGAATAAAACCTAAGGAAAGTTTAACGACGGCCTTTCTGCGGAAGAACGCAAGAAGCGTTACAATAGTAAGGCATGCCTCCACTATGGCGAAGTAGGACACTTCCGCAGGGACTGCCCGAAGAACGAAGTCAAGCAAGGAGCGGTCAAGATTGGGATGCTACGGATAGCAACACCTTACCCGACCAAGGAGCCAGACGAAACGCTTAGCGACCTAGACCTGTACGACGAAGCAAGACAAGCCACCAACAAGGCCTTTAAGCTAGTACAAGAGGCAATAGGACTCCAAGACTTCAAGTAGGACGACCCACTACTAATGGATTGGCAGGTTGAAGGGGCCGAAGTACTACGCCGCCTAAGAAACTAACAGTGCTAGATTTGTGGAATTACTAGGCACCAAGCCAACGATTGCAACATTAAAGGACGAGTCACAATCACGGGGCCTAGAGCAGAGGAAATTGCCTGCAAGGCTGCCTAGGAACAACCTAGGTTCAAGGAACCTAATAACGAGGAGACGCCTCAAACGTTCAAGGAACGAATAGAGCAACACGAGCGCCTATGTTAGGTCGACTGCCCAAAACAGTGCGATTATTACCTAAGGAAGCGAGAAGTGACCAGGGACAACAAGGACGATTGCTGCCACACGAATTTATGGCATAACGAGTGTCGAGTACTACATTATCACATGCACTAGCTAGGAAAGAAAGAAGCTTATAAGGAGCTATGCTAGATCAACTGTACAACTAATTGCCAGTTCCACTAGATACAACGACGGAATGCTCAAAAGGTAGACGACTACTACCATAGCACGATATCCGCCAAAGAATGCAAAGCAAAGCACTGTAAGATGCACAGGGCACAGAAGCCAAGAGTCACAACGACCAGAATGCCTAAGCAAGTGCTGGGAAAGCCCAACAAGGACAAGAGCCACGAACAACTCTTATAGACACATTGCAGGAAGGGACGCGCCTTCCACTAACAATAGTTTAAGGATGCTTAAGGAGTGAACGACTATCTCTATAGCACCCTGTCAGCAAACATTTATAAAGTAAGGGATTGCCTAATTCACAAAGTAAAGAAGCTAAGACTAACAAGGGAGGTAGCGAAGCAGGAAATTCCGCACCAGAACACCCATTAGAGCTTCTGTTACGACGACTAGTGTATAATACACTATTCCGCCAAGGCAGGCGAAGGCTACTTTCCTACGCAGAGGAAAGATAGGCAGTTAAAAAACTAGGATGCCACCAGGGACAGGGTCACGCTGGCAAAGGTAGTCCTAAAACGACCCTTAAAGAAGTACGCGAACTGGGAGCACAAGACTTGCGGCTACAGGCTACAGTACTTATCGACAGACACGAGGTGACGGCGCTCATAGACAGTGGGGCCGCACGAACCGTTATCTCACCCCAAGTGGTGGAGAAGAATAACATACCCTACCGGACCAAGAAGGTACTAATGCAAGTGGTATTAGCCAATGACAGTCCCACGACATATAGGAACGGCTGGATCCGACTTAAGACCGAGGCAGTAACGTTACGCCTGGCTAGTCAAGAAAGCCGAGAACGAATTAGCATTATAGATCTCGGAGAAACAGAGATAATAATTAGCTACGACTAGTTGTTAGAACACAACCCTGCTATCAATTAGCAAAAGAAGACGTTGCTCAGCTAAGAACCTGTGCACAAGGTTGCTGGAGCTAGACGTAAAGAGATGCGCCCGATTATCTAGAGCTCACCCTGGGAAGGGAGGATAGGCCAGATCTCACCGCATAAGATCGCGAGAATCTATGCGAAGGACCCTTAGAAAGTAGGAATCATATGGATACGGCAGGTTGCGACCACGAAGGAAGGACTAGTACCACAGGATGCGACCGTGAAGGACGATCCGCTGTTGGTGATTCCAACAGAATACCAAACACCAGAGTTCAGAGAACTGTTCAAGGAAAACGAAGCAACAGACTTAGCAGAACACCAGGATTGGGATCACGAGATCATCCTGGAGGAAGGAGCAAAGTTGAGCCTAGGAGGAATGTACCCTATAGCGCCCAAGCACAACGCTAAGCTGCGGGATTACCTCTAGAAGAACTTAAAGAAGGGATTTATCCAACCAGGATCAGGCCTAATGGCCTCACCCATCCTGTTCGTAAAGAAGCCTAACGGGAAGTGGCGACTATGTGTCGACTTTAGAAGGTTAAACAGCGTTACTTAGAAGAACTAATATCCCCTACCACTCATTACAGAGCTCATGGATCGACTCCAAGGAGCTAAGTGGTTCACGAAGTTCGACGTTTGGGAAGGATTTTACCAAATCAGAATCAAAGAAGGTCACAAGTGAATAACGGCGTTTAAGACGAAGTATAGACTCTTTAAATACACAGTTATGCCGTTTGGATTGACGAATGCGCCAGCAACCTTTTAATTAGTTATTAACAACGCACTCCACAAATACCTCGGAATCTTTGTTACCGCGTACCTAGACGATGTACTAGTGTACACCAACGGCACACGCGAAGAACATGTCGAGCATGTTAAGAAGGTTTTACAGAAGCTTAAGGAATACAAGCTATACCTTTAACTAAAAAAGTGTGAATTTCACACGCAGGAAACGGAATTCCTTAGATTTATTATATTAACTAAAGGAGTGAAAATAAACCTAAAGAAGATACAAACTATACAGGAATAGCCAAAACCCAAAATAGTCAAGGACATCCAATCCTTTCTAGGATTTGCGAATTACTATTAAAAGTTCATAAGGGATTACTTAAAGATCACCGCACCCCTTACGGAAGTGACAAAGAAGGAAATAGGTTTTAGATAGGAACAGGAACATCAAGAGGCTTTTGATCGGATTAAGCAGATATTCCTAGAAGCACTAGTACTCGAGATGTACAGCCCTCACCGACCCACTAGAGTCGAGACTGACGCGTCTGACTATGCACTTGGAGCTGTGTTGTCACAGCAGTGCCTAGATGGAAAATGGAGACCAGTGTTCTACCATTCACGGAAGTTCTCTAGAGCAGAACTCAACTACGATGTTCACGATAAGGAACTACTTGGGGTAGTTGATGCCTTTGAACAATGGGAAGTGTACCTGTTAGGACTCCCCAATACGATCGAGGTTTTTACCGATCACCAGAACTTAACGAGTTTCATGACAACTAAGAAACTCAACCAACGACAAGTACGATGGGCAGAGACTCTGGCCCAGTTCGACTTTAAGATCACCCATAGGGCCGGAACGCTCAACAGAGCAGCAGACGCCCTCAGTCGACGAAGCGACTTACGAGAGGAAGGTCATAAGGAACCCCACAAAGCCATGCTAAAACAGATGCCCAACGGCAGTCTGAAGTATAATCAGCCAAAGCTAGCGAAAATAGCGACCACGGTGGTTCACCAAGTCATGACACTTCAACAACAATAGCAAGAGAGAGCCAATAACTGGCAGTTCGAGCCTGAGAGCTCTAACGGACTGTTGCAAGACGAACAGGAGTACCAGAATCTGATTTCGAAGAATCGAACCTATGTACCTCCACACATGAGATCGGATCTCATCAAGGAACTGCACGAGTCCCCAGAATATGGACATGCAGGAATCGAAGAAATAGTTAGACAACTAGCTAAGGTGTTTGCGATACCACGCTTGCGAGCGAAGGTGCAGGAAATACTAGGCAACTGTTTGGCATGTCACTAGAACAAGCCCAAGAGACATAAGCCCTACGGCCTGTTACAACCCTTACAACCGCCAACTAGACTATAGATAAGCGTAACAATAGACTTCATAGTGAAGCTCCCAAGATCGTTAGAACCAGGATCAGCTCGATTTTGCGACACAATTCTAGTCATCGTGGATCGATTGACTAAGGCAGCGAAGTTTGTGCCTACAGAAGAGACTATTACGGCAGAAGAGTGCGCGTACGAAGTCCAGAAAGCACTAGTATCAGAGCACGGGATACCTGAAGAATTCATTACGGATAGAGACAAACTATTCACGTCCTTGTACTAGACAACGTTCCTGGCGAAATTAGGTGTGAAGAAGAAGCTTTCGACGAGCTTCCACCCCAAAACTAATGGCCAGACAGAACGAACGAACCAGACATTGGAACAGTATCTGCAGATGTACGTTAACAAGTTACAGGACAACTAGGTTAAGTACCTGCCGTTAGCACAACTAGCTTATAATAGCACGAAATCCGCAACGACAAGGCAGTCACCACACTACGCGAACTACGGATATGAGCCAATAGCTCACCAGGATCCAAAAGACATTAAAAGTATCGCCAATAGTGCAGACAAGAAAGCACGCCTATTGCGAGAATTGCACGAAGAACTAAGCAAGCAAATCGCTCAGAGGAACCTTACAACGTCCAAAGCAGCAAACAAGCTAAGGATCAAGGGACTAACCTTTAAGGAGGGGGATAAAGTTTTCCTGTCAAGACAAAACCTAAAAACTAGAAGACTATGCAGAAAACTGGACAATCTACGGGTAGGACCATTTGAAATCCTAGAGAAAATAGGACCGGTAAACTACAAACTACGGCTACCACCAGGCATGAAAGTACACCCCATATTCCACAAAAAGCTTTTGGAACCAGCACCCCAAGACGCCGAACTAGCAGAAGACATCGAACTCGAGAATGACGAGTATATGGTCGAAGCAGTCAAGGACCTACGGAAAATCGGTCGTCAGTGGAAATACTTGGTCAAGTGGCAAGGATGGCCAGATAGCCAGAACACTTGGGAACCAGAAGAAAATTTGACGAACTGCAAGGAACTGATACGAGCGTATCATCGACAGCACCTAGAGAAGAGAGGGCCAGGCCCTCAAAGGAAAGGAAGTAATCAAGGGACAAAAGATCGAAAGAATCAGCCTGTAACCAGCCCGGATCAGCCGTTGGTCCGGATAGCGATGTTGCGACAACAGGAAGGTCCGTACCAGGGGCAGAACTCCCCTCAGCCTGCTCTTTCGCACGATCTTGAAGATTCAAGACGGCAAGATCTCGATCAGCAAATTCTTGCTCTCGCGCCTCAGCCTCTAGGAGTTCCAACTCGCTTTAAGCCAACTAAGCCTTTAGCCGCGCAACCTCCAATCGCTTCGCGCGCTTCTTAGCCTGAACCTTCTCCCACTCTTCCTCAGAAACAAAAAGACTACAAGCAGCAGCAACAGAAATACAACCAGCGCAACGACTAGTTGCAGTGTCCACGAAACAACAAAGATTCTTCTCCTTACAACGCTTACAACGAAAAGTCATTTTGTTCCCCTGCTCTTTCACACGGTCAGCACGAGCACGTCGCTCGGAAGTTA